TTTGTTCTATGTTGTTATGACAGGCAATTCATCCATGGATCGATGGAGTGGTGTTCTAAAGGTTCGATTGGACCATAATAGCCTGAATTACTACAGGGTTGCAGCATCTCTATGCTTCTCTTCTACTTCCAAAACGCTAACTGTAAGTTATGTTTGTAAAAGTACAGAAATCTTAATTGCCACCATCCAGAACTGTATCCCATATGCTTCTTTGTGCAACTTAATTTGTAACTATTCAGTTGTTATGGTAAAGGGGCAGCCTTCCCTGAACCATACCATACCATTCATATTCAATCTGACTCTATTTGCTGGTTATATCGGTGGCAGGTTCCTTCTGCAAATGCCATATTCTTCAATGGAGATCGAGTTCAAGGAACCAGGAATCCGGTGATTGAAAGACTGTCTGATTTGCAGAAAATAGCTGATGTTTTGGTTTCTAAATTTGGCGGTTCTATCAATGCTTGGGTTATTGAGGCTTCCATTTTCAGTGGTCCTTTTGCTGTTTACAAGGACTTCATTCCATCTGTGAATAAATGGGGGGAACCAAAATTATACTGCCCAACTGGATTCCCAGCCTCTTCAGCAACCGTCTCACTTTTATCAAATTGTCTTGAAGAGGTATGTTTGGCAACTTGCTTCTTTCCATTTATTCAGTTTGCAGAACATGAATCTGATGAATTTGCAGCAACAGATGCATGTTATGCTAGCATATTTGTGATCTGTCTCCTTTAGTCTAGTAAAAATTACTTTGGTTCAGTCGGTTTTATGTTCAAAATATCGATAAAAGAACTGAATAGCATGGGTTCTGAGTTGTGTTGGTGAAAATACTTAGAGTTTGGGTGCTGCTTCCCCAAGATAACAACGAAAGAGGAGAAATGTGTTTCACATGTACATTCCAGTTGAACTCTGTCAGTCATATGGTGGCATTTGAGGCCAATTAACTAGGTTCATAAAATATTCAGACTACATGGTATTTAGTTTAGGTGGCATCTTTCATTTTCAAGCATTGAGAAATCATAATTTTTTCTTGGTATTGAAATATTTCAAGAGCTAAACTGGCCATTATCACAGGCAAAGAAAGTGATTTCAAGTAGCCAGATGGAACTTCATTCCACTAGCATATCTTCCTCACAGCCCAAAACTTTTCTCCTTGGGTTTAGCAAGGGTGGTACCGTGCTTAACCAGCTTGTTACTGAACTGGGATTCTTAGAACAAAAATCCATGGTAAGTCCTACCCACATAGAAGAA